TTCCCTGAAATGGATGGGGCCACAAGTGCCCGGTGTAGCCCTACCCATGAACAGAGCCAAAAACCGAACTCTCCTCCAGCCACCCATCTCTTTGAAAGTGACCGGGTCCCTTATCCCAAGAAGGATGTCAAGGCCAAAGGGAAGGGGACCGGTCATTCTTCTTCTCAGAAAAGGAAGAGTTCCCACAAGACTTCCAGGGGGGAGGAGGAAGAAGGTCAGGCTATCAGATCTAGAAGGGGAGTCCATTGAAGTGACATTTTTATCCTTGGCCCAGAAACTCAGCAAGGTACCAACTCTGATTTTCCTCCCGGTTTAATTATTTCCTTTGCTTTTGCTGACAAGCTTGTTTTCCAGGTTGGAGTTCTATCCGAAGAAGTTGGCCGGTCACTCCTGGAGTCCAAGGACCAGGTCTCCGAACTTACCCTCCTTCTTGATTCTGCCAAGTTGGAGATCAATGACCGGGCCGAGAGGGAGAAGAGACTTGAAGAGGAGCTGAAGGAAGAGAGGGCCAGGCTAGACGAGGAAAGAGCCAAGCTGGTGGAGGAGAAGAGAAAGGTGGCTGAGCTAGAGGAAGCTTTGGGACAGGCTGAAGAATCTGCCCGGGCAAAGGAGCAGTCTTTTCCTGATGATGCTGCAACTTGGGCCGCTTGCCATCACACCGAAGTTGCCCGATCTGTTCTCACCAAGCCGGAGGATACCATGGATTTTTTCAAGACCATGTACAAAGAACCGGAGGGCATGAGGATGATAACTGAGATCGGGTCATACGGCTTCCAGTGTGGCCAGAAGGATGAGAGGTCCCTTCTCTATGCCAGGCTCCAGAAAAGGGACCCTTCGTTTGACCCGGCCAAGATGAAGCTTCCTCCTTTGTACAAGGAAGAGCCAGCCCCCCCCCCCCTTTCCCTTTGCAGTAGGTTAAGGTAGATAATGAAAACACTCTGAATTTTCCCAAGGCCCGAGGGATGTCCGGCCTACTTTTGATTTGTATGAGATTTAAATCTTCTTGGCAGGCTCTTGAATTTTACCGGTCGATCTGTTTCAATTTGCATGGTTGAACTTCTTTTCTATGCATGGTTATTGTCTCTTGCATGATAGCTTTTCTTTTCTTTTTCTTGATCGCCTTTGAAGGAACTTCCAAGTCAATAAAACTAACCGGCC